CAATACTTATATTGTCTAATGGAATATCTTGATATTTGACACAATTGATTTTTTCTCATAACCCCAGAAGAAACGTTTCTTGTTTGCAAAGACTCCTGTTTGACATTTTACTGACCAGTGGTCAGGATGACGAGCTCTTCATCAGGACTCCAGCTCATAGATGTCAAACCACTGTCCACGCTGCCAACACACTCCAACTGTAAGAAAAAAAAGAAATTTTTTTAATCAGAATTCCTTTTTAGCTATAATCCTAAAACACATGAAGTTGAAAAAAGTTGGACAGTTTTTTACCCACCTGGCTGGTGTTGAGGTTGAAGAGAACCACATCACCGCCTGCTGTGGCCAAACATGCAGACTGAAGCTCAGCGAGGTCCTGCAGTCCCACCACCAACCCGCTGCCGTCTTCTGGAAGGTAACCGTCTGCCGTTAACGAAGCTTCGCTGACAACCTAAAGGAAGAACAAAAACAAAGAAACCATTCAGTCTGATCAAAGAGAGCCGGCCATCTTTGATACAAAGAGATGAGGAGTACTGTACCTCGCCAGATTGAGGGTTATATTCTACGACTGAGAACTGAGAGGCGATGAGCAGTGACCCGGTGTCGGACCTCACAGAGAAACACTGCGGGGAGCCAAGACCCTGCAGCTCTGAGCACTGAAGGCTCTTCAGCAGCTTCAGATTCCTCATTTCACCTCAAGAAGTCCTGAAGACCAAAGAGAATCTGAAACCAGGTCAGAGCAACATGTTAAACACTGCAATCTGCAACACTAAAGAATTAATATCAATAATTGCGTTAATTTACTCTATTGTAACCTGCTAGGCTTTGTTGGGTTTCTGTTTCCTTTATATCCTTTTAGATTGTTTTTTTTATTTAACCTAGTTTTTTATTAACATATCGAATTTACAGTTTAATGTTTTAGCTTATTGGTCTTTTTTGTACACTTTTATTTTAATTATTTTCATTTTTTTAGCCTATTAGTTTTTTTTTTTTTATTGTATCGTAATTATAGCCAACTAGCTTCTTTTCCACTTTTTTTTTTTACTACTATCAGCTATAGTTTTTTTTTCAGCATTCTATAAGCTTTTTATACATATATATATTTTATCATAGTTATTTTTCTAATGTTTTAGTCTTAAGTTTCTTTTGATTCTGTCATCATTGCAGCCTATCAGTTAGTTAGTTTTTTTATAATCATAGCTCACTAGTTCGTAATTTTGTCAGCAGCACATGTACAAGATTTTCATAACCAAGTTTTTCTTCATTTCCAACAACCTTTTGTCAGAACTGCGCAGATAGAAAAAAGCGAAGCTAGAAAAGCCCGCATTCCAGTCTTTAACAATTTAATCAACTTTCATTACGTTTTATCTTTGAAAATAAAAAAGAGCTCTGAGATCAATTCCATAGTTTAATTAGCAGAAATAATCAAATGATTACCCTGCTGTGTTAGAAATAGTTCATTTATCATTTAGTTAAAAACCAGAATAGAACAGAGCTGTTTGTTCCTCACGTTTTAGTGAGGCGGCCATGTTTTCCATTGACTTTATGACATTCAGGGACCAAACAGCCTCTCCTCCTGTGATGTTGGCTTCTGAACTTTATTTTCTCCAATTAACAGCTGTGTCCTTGAGGAGGTTTGTAGATGTGAGAAGCTAAGTTAGACAAAGGAGCTTGGACTAATCCCTTGTGAGAGGAAGAGCAGCTGAGGAGGTGTTTTCACCCCAGAAAAAAATAAAACATCAAAATCTTTACAATCAAGCAAAAAGGGAAGATTAAAGCATATAGACTGGAGCAAAGCTGTGATCTCTGATTATGATCCCCATTCAGTAAAGCTTCAAGCTTCCAAGAATGGAGGGTTGATAAAAGAAGAAACATCATTAACAGCCCAAAATTGAGCCCAGTTTCCATTTGAGTGAGTTTAAGAAGTATTTTTCGTAGAAAACCTGAAAGATCAAAAATATTTCCCAGATTCAAGCTCCACTGTGAATTTTAGTGATTTTTCAAGAAGCAGCTGGAGAAACAGAAACCCCCCAAAAACTGATCAACTTCAAAAACAAAGAAAATGTAATCATATTTTCCCATCTGTCAGAATATAAACCGGAAGCTGAAATCCTGTTTTTAACGGCAGGTTATGGAGTACCAATGAAAACGTTTCAAGTTTCATAAAATACATTACAGCAATTTCTTTTTGTTTTGCAGCATATTTACTTTGCAGCTTAAAGCTAAACCGTTTTAGCTGCTAAGTCTCTGATCGATGTCGACAGGTTTCGTACATGTTACTAAAGTGGAAAGAAATAAAAATATTCACAAGGCAAAGTGGCAAAGATCTACCAGGGCTAAAAACGACACTTGTTCTGGGAGTTAGCTTAACGTTTAGCAGTTAAATATAACCCAGCTAGGCTAAACTTAAGAGTTTTAGCACAGTAAAAACCCCAAAAATGTTTTATCTCACCATAAAATGTATGTTGAGGAGGAAAGCTTTGCAGTTAATCCAGCATTTGCACCACAACAACAAACATGTGGTTCTGTCCAACTCTCTCCCCTTTACTTCCGGTTCGTTTTGATGACACTATAGCTGCTGTTGCCCCCTATTGACTTGGAGTAACACTACATCATAGTTTTTTTTTTCTTTTAAAATTAAAAATAAATGTTTTGCAACAATATTTTTAGCCAAAACTCACTGAAGCATCACTTAAAACGATCCCTTGCTGTAAAAATAAGAGGATGGTGAAATAATCTTAGCTTTAAAAGCCACAAATTAAATGCATGTTTCGGACTTTTATTTAAATATATCCGATAAAGGAGACATGCAGAAAATAAAGTTTCAGAAAAGAAAAAAATTCTGTATATAAAAAACCCTTTGATATGCTGAGCAATGAGTATTGGTGTATTATTTTTTCATATAATGAGCCATGATCCACTAAATCAACCCATGTTCTTTTTCATTTTTATGAACCAATGCTATGAGAATGATATGAATTAATATGTTACAGATGAAAAAGTTTCATATATATAAGTGCATCAGTGCAAAAAAAAAGAAAAAAAAAAAAGAAGAAGAATCAGAAAATCTGTGTACAAACCTAACCGGAAATCAACATGTGATGGAAATAACATTTGTGCTAGCCGAGTTGGGCAATCTGTTAAAAAAAACACCATCAAATTGTCTTAAAAAATCAGTGTGTTCTCTTATGAATCTTCAAACTAGACTAGTTATGCTAACCTATTACATTGTGAGAGTTTACATTTTATTATATTTTTTCTCTTCACGTTTGCAAGGCCAATAGTGCCCGTAGTTAAAAAATCACCCATATAAATATTTAAGATATGCTTAAAATTATACAAAAAGACAAAGAAGGGAAAGTTAACTGCTTTTTAAATATTATTTCAGTATAATATTAGAAAAAAGTCAGAATTCTAACTTTAATCTCAGAATTCTGACTTTTTTCTCAGAATTCTGACTGAATTCTGACAGCTAACAAACATGTTAGCATCAAGCCGTAGACATGTCTGTTTTAGAGACTAAACCATGGGCGTAGGTTTGCATAGGGACCATAGGGACACACAGACCTATTTGTCCCTACCAACAATTACATGTGAATAACATGTTTATAATTTACAACACAGCATTGTTGCAGCAGTAGAGGAGTTCTGGATGGAGAATATTGACAGACGAAAACATATTTTATCTAAAATGCAAATTTTTTTTTTATTTTATTATTATTTTTTTTTACACTTTTGGTATAATTCCTGCTCTACATAGGTCGCTCTGTGAGCTAAAGACATGTTTTAGAGTCTCTATACTCCAGTTAACGATTAATTGATTACTAAATTTGTTGACATTATTTCAATAATTGATTAATCCAATGAATTGTTTAAGCCCTAAATAAAATACATGAAATGGGTTAAACAGAGTATCTACAGCCTAGATGTACAACTTGTAGAGTGAGGTTGACATATTAAATGTTCAGTGTGAGTTCCTCTTCTAGTTCCAGGGCACATGTAAATACAACACATTTATTTGCCGTCCTTTGAATCTATTATTTCGCTTTATTTCATGATACAAAGAGAACATTTAAAAGAGTGGGTTTTACCTCTATTTACCCCTGCACAATTCTATATCTTCAAAATAAAACAAAAGTATAAATCCACATATAACAGACATATTTAGACTATATTCTGTTAAATAGGCACAGATTTACCTACTGTCTTAGTCGCTGGTAATTTCAAATGCAAATCTTCTCAAAGTGGAAAAAAGTCCTAATTCCTCATCAATCAGAGCCAGTTAAGCTTCAGTCATTGATAAACAGAATATAGTGTGTGTAGTGCTTATAAAATTTGTATAAATGTAGCAAGAAATGCTGCTTTTCTCTTAAACGAAATACACCCTGATTTTCCCGTCAAGCATAAAAAAATGAGCATGCATATTTTTGCATAGGACCAATGACATTAGACCAATAGTGTTCCTACCAAATTTGAAATCAAACCTATGCCCTTGGACTAAACTCTCTTGTTTTAATCACCTTCTGCTCTTCCAATAATGAAATACCCCTTGGGCACGTAAAAAGTCATTTTTCCACCAATGTGTTACTGGCCCTCCCAAACAACTCACATCTTTGTCAGTGAAGCTGACGGCCCCCTTTCTCTTCTTTCATGGTGGCCATCTATATTAAGATCCAAAATTCTGAGATTAAAGTCAGAATTTTGAGAAAAAAATCTGAATTCTAAGATTAAAGTCAGAATTCTGACTTTTTTCTCATATTCTACTGAAATAAACTGTAAAAATCAGTAAACTTAGGGCCACTTTTTTCCAGTGGCCCTAATCCTGTTCTCTATTTCTTCTTCTTTTAGAAACAATTAATTGTTTCTTTCTTGCTTTGCTTCACAAAGAACCTTATTTTGAAAAGATGTTTGGACTATGAAGGGCTACTCGGGCTCTTATTTTGTAAGCAAACAGGAAGTAGTATCATCATTGTGTGCTTTGCTCTCAGTAACAACAGGTGTGCATATGGACGTCAGAGGAGGAGTAAATACGCGATGACAGGAGAATAACAACATGGTAAAATAAAAATCTTTTTATCGCATTTGTCTTTTATTAAAAGCTTTCATTTATTGGTTAACGTGTCGGCACGCGGGCCATGGCGAAACGAAGCCTTTATTTTATTTCTCGAGCTTTTCTCAGCTGCCTTAAAGGTTGTAATGGGGATTTTTATTAGGTTGTTTATTAAAAAGTCGTTGTTCCGTCGAAGAAATCCATATTTATCATAAGAAAAACCAACCAATTGCCATACTAGGTGGTTTCTGCTTATTTATTTTCTCTGTCGGAATGAATCAGGATATGACTGAAGTGTGAAATTGGCACATAAGAACTGTTTGAAAGCAACGTGTCAATAAATTTGAAAAGGCAACTAAAAGGTGGTTGAAAGATAATAATTCAAATGTTTCTTTTTGACATTATGGCTTATTAACAATATATGTCGACTTCAAGATTGCTTTCAAAGGATATATTAAATTTATAATGTTAGAAGAACAGTATTTATTGTGTTTGTTGATATTATTGGAGGCGAACATTCTCTGAATCTTTAGTTTCTTTTCTTCTTCAGTCCCTCAAATGCTGAAGTTGCACTCCTTTCTTTCTGGTTTCAGGGTTAAGTGGAAAAGACAGAAAAAAAAAAACCATAAAACAAATGTGTAATTGTAACTAATGAGCATTATTACAGTGGATCCTGTCACCTTCCAATAAACCTTGACAACAATCTTTAATGTATTTTGTTGGCATTTTAAGAAGTGCACAATTTGTATTCATCCACGTTTTTAAAAGATCCAGTACAATCAGTTATTTTAAAAAATTGCCCAGGCATCACTATCCAATGCTGAAGCATAGTGGTGGCAGCATCATGCTGAGGGATAAAGGAGGTACACCTTTCAGAAGCACATGAACCCTTAACTAGCCAGAAGTGTAAAAGGATGAATCAGAATAGTTGTTTTGTTTTGTTTGTTTGTTGTTTTTAAATGGGAGGGAATGTATAAATAAATGTTTAGGTAAGGATGTTTTAGACTGGCTCAGTCAGTGTTCACTTCAAATAAGAATTTATGGCAAGTGCTGGTGAAGATTCTTAGTCATCCAGGAATTTATGGCAGGACTTTGAAAAATGACAAATGTGCTCCGTCTGACTATAACGAGTTATGTTTATTCTGAAAAGAGGAATTATAAATGATTTCTGTTTCTCCATGTTCAAAGATGGTAAAGATGGCAAATGAAGTGATTGGTGGTTCTTCAAGACACCGACTCAGCATAGTGCTTCTAGCTCTCAATTAGTTTTAAATTGAGTGCTTCACGGATGATCTTTACAAGTATTCAGACAAGAAAAATCCCACATTCTGTCTACATTTTATTATTATAAGTAACAAAACCATGAGGAGAAATTAAAAAAACATTAAAAAGACATAATCATAATAATTTTAAAGTCGAAGGGAATTTCTTATTTCAATCGTTGCATATATTAGCTGCAACATATGAATCAAGATGCTATGACTGAAAAAATTAGATTGACAGATGACCTTTGATATATGATTGGCCGAATTTAGGTGTACAAGCTGACGTATAACTAACTGGCCTGCATAAAACTTTTGGCACAATATGGTCTGATAAAGAGTAGATCTATATCTATTAGATTTATATACATGTTTAGGCAAGAATGATTTGAAATTTAAATATGTCTTCCCTACGACTTTAAGATTTTATAACCAGTTAACAGTGTGGGTCCTTAGTTTTCACTTAAGGCTGCATCCGTATGGAGATTTTTTTTCCATATTGTTGCAAGTAAAGAAAATGTTTTGTGAAATTGAATTTGAAAAGAAAAGCTTAAACTATCTTAATAAAATAGTTTTGAGAGTAACTTTGCTGTTTTTTTTTTTTGACTATATAATTATATATATACACAGTATATATATACATATTTGTTCATATTTTATTTTTTTTTTTCCTTTTTTAAATTTCCTTTTTTTTTTTTTTTGGTTTAAGCTCTATGAACGGCATTCTTTTTAAATAGTGTTTTACAGATAATATTCTTTTTATTTCTATGGGACGGCTTTTTTTTTGCTCTAAGACGCATTTCTACTGATCTGCTGGACAGCCGCAACATTTTCATTTGTCAAGAGCGAGAGTTTGTATCGGGATTAAAATAAAGGAAATATAATCTGTAAAATGCAATTTGAACACATTGGAATTCATAATATTTTTTTTTAAAAAGAGAAATTTAAAAAAGTTACATTATAAAATGTTAGATCTCAATTAAAAAAAAAAAGAAGTAAAAAATGTAAAATGTAAGAAAGCAGCAAAGTTACTCCAAAAACACCTTTTTTGATTAGAAAGTTTCGCAAAGTTTCATTTCTTGATCGCAGAAAAGAAACAATATCAGATTACCAGATCTTTCAAAAACACACAGACAGCATCAATAAAGCCGCTAGGCTCAATAATGCCAATCCTGACTGAGAGAAAATGCATAAAATATATTATTATGCATATTATGTTCTGGTTCTAAAAAGAAATGTCCTCCGTGTGAACCCAGTGAGCTGCGATATCTTGGTATCGTTCTTTCAAGGGCTTTTGCTCAGTGCAGTTTTAATATGGTTTGTGGTACAAAGCTAAAGCAGCAGAGGAAACCACATATCTCTGAGTCGGCATCTAAAGAGGAACTGAAGGATCTAAATGAAACACGATTCTGCTGAAGTTAGTAATAAGACAAAATGCTTTGTGACATGTTTTAATGAAGTTGTTCCAGTTGTAGGAACATATTTAAGCTGAATAAGGAGGCAGCAATTATGACTGGTATTATTTTCTGCTGAGCTCAACAAGCTAAGCCAGTTTAGCTGAACGGGTGACAGTATGCTTCCCCCTGCCTAAAATATACCAAGGCTTGAAATGGAATAAAAATGAGTGTGCCCCATCTGGCTAAAGTAGTAGAACAATTTCACAAAGAATCTGACACAGTAGGTCACATGACCTGGAAGCTTCAGAAGAAAAGTCCCAACTTTTGTCTTTAAATATATCTTAAAAACTGAAAATAGCTTAAAATTGCAAGTCAAGACATATGTTATCTATTGGCATGATTATATATTAGTTTTGTCTTAGCTGGTCATAAGATAAGGAATTTATTGATTTTTGTTTCTCAGGAGTGCTTGGTTCAAAGATTTGTTGACGGTCCCTAAATGCACCACTGCGTGTGGGAGCAGCTGAGAGACGCTGGCCGACATCGGAGCCCCTCAGTCAGATCAACCGCTTGCTAGACCCCGCTAACTCTGCAGAGCTTGAATATCCAATATCCAACTTCACAGCGGTTCTGACGGCTCGGTTCTGTTGCACTGTAGTTGGCCAAAATCCTGGACGATTTTGAAATTCCCCCTGAACATTTTTTAGGTATGAAAAGAAGGACATGTGCGGGAAAAAAAGGAGGTTTAGTTATCCTAACTAAGCATTCCCATTCAATTAGACTTATATTCCTCCAGTGATATTGGTTCCTCACTTGTTTTTGATCTGTATCCAGTAAATGTTGCTCACCTCTGACACAGAATGATTACAGACATTCAACCTCTCATTATTACTGTAATTACCTTCCTATTCAGTCAGGGTATTTGTCGCTTGTGGTTTGAGCTAAATGGTGACTAGCGAACCTCGTCCTCCTCTGCTTTATCTGGGACTGGGTCGAGGGGACAGCACTGACAACAGAGACTCCCAAACATTTTTTTTCACAGACTCCTCCTCTAGTAAAGCTGGGGGAACCCCAAGGCGCTTCCAGGCCAGTCGAGATCCCTCCAGCATGTCCTGGGTCGTCCCCTGTGTTCCCCCAGGTGGATCAAGACATCTGAAAAGAGTCTGAGACACCTCAGCTGACTCCTCTCGATGTGGAGGTGTAGCTGCTCTATTCCGAGCCTCTCCCGAATGACCGAGCTCCTCACCCTATCTCAGGCTCCTTAGCCACCCTGAAGAGGAAGCTCATTTCGTCCGCTTTGCAATTCTAAGATTTACTTTGCATTTAGTGAAAGACTGATGCAGGGATTGATTAAGCCTTTTAAAAGCACAACAATTATAAAGACTTGATCAGCTGGTTTTCATCTGCTGAGTGTTTTCTGGGAATCCTTCAGTTTTCCTCTTAGAAAAGCAGGTTTTTGCGTCTGGAGGATATTTGGTTCTATGAATTCAATGTTGAAGGTTTTCTAGCTTCCAAACTGGTTTTTTGTTTGACCTACACCTTGAGCTGCTCTCAGAGGAGCAAGAGGAGACGGTATAGCAGCATTCCTACCTGGCATGCCGATCCATTGAATAAGATCAGCTGCCTTCTTTCCTCATTCTTTATCTTTCCAGCCTGATTGCAGTGAATGCCTTTGGTTATGTCTGGCTTTGCTCACGCTTTCACGTTCCAGTTATTTGCTAAAGAACAGCAAAGATTTCTGCTATTCAAATGTCCCAGAAAATTTTTAAAGATGCTAGGATATGAATATAACTATTTGAACCTATTGAAGAATGAAGCAAAACCTGAATTGCAACTTTTAAGGCTGAAGCTTCATTTTTGGGGGGATTTCTAATGGTACTTATGTATACCACTCTACTTTTAAATAATCCTCAACCAATAGATGACATGAATAAATAACGAATATAAAATGTTGATTTTATGTTTGTCAAACTACTATTGGGAATAATACTAAAAAATTAAAGGCAAAAAACTTGAAAACTAAGCATTTTTGTATCTCACTGCCTAACATGTTTTTTCTAAGCACAATCACAACCATTTACTTGTGCAATAACTTGTGCAATGTATAATGAGCAATTGTTAGTTGACACCCTGTGCAATTACCTATTTCTCTAAATTTGACAGCCAGTAAAATAAATATATTTATAAATATAATTATCCATCTACATAAATACCCATGCGGACACACTGTGCAATAACCCTGTATAATAATCTTGCTATTAAAAAAGCTGTCATATGTGGATGCACTGTATATACTGTATATATCCCATGGATCTTTTTCTTCCTTTGGCACATTCTTCTTATCCTTTAACTATTTGAGCTGATGTAACAAGTACATTTCTCCACTGTGAGATCAATTCATTAAATCAATCAACATTGCGAGCTTCTCAGAACACAAGCGCACTGCTCTAACCTACTAGGTTAAAGGCCAATTTATGCTTCTGACGCGTAGCGTCTGCAACCATCAAATCTGTGTCTCTGGCGACCACGCCCCCCACACAGAGGTTCTGCAATCGTCATCGCACACCTCAAAAAAATCCTGACTATGCGTGGGGCGGTCACAAACCCGCGCAAACCTCAGCTGAGGTGCACTGACAAAAAGCAGCTGTGATTGGTCCTTGGTATGCCTTTCCGGCTGTCTGTGTAGTAGTCCTTCTCAATTCGCTGCCGGGGCGCGCCATTTTTAAAAACCGAGGAACAATGGACAACTATGACGAAAGGTTAATCGATGAGGTTTGGAAGTACAACCACTTGTAGGATGCCTCAGACAAATTATATAAAGATGCCAAGGTATTTGCCGAAACGAAGTTCTCGTGACCATCTGACGAAGTTCTCGCGAGTTCTCGAATAGGCTCCCCCTAGTGCTTTGGCAGGAAACTGCTGTGCATCCCTAGAAATTCCAGACCCATGCAGAAGCATACCAGCAAAACTGGTTCGCGACCAGACCCAAGCGACATTTGATGTGTGCGGATGCAGAAGAGTAATCTGCCCTTAAAACTCCCACATTTTAAGGTTATCTACAGTATTTTTCTATCAATGTGCAAATAATCCAAAAATGCATATCTTTATTATAGATGCCATACTGAATCAGTATTTTATCCAAAAAAGCACTGAAGAAATGAGCAGCAGTTGCAGATAAAGTGATTTTATTTTTATACGTTTTGCATAACTCGGAAGTGAAGTGTTTTTTTTTTTTTTTATTCTTCAGAAATAGGGAGGGGGGGGGATCTAGAATCATTTCTTTTTAACTGATGAAAAATGAGGAGTGACTTTAAATCTTTTGTTTCCACCCATCAGACAGTCCCTCTACAGTTGGAAGAGGATGGGAAGTCCCACCGTGCTTTTGTCTCCTGTGAGAAGAGAACTTTAGCGCCCCGTCTTGATTGGCTCCTTTTAGTTTTCTATGAAGTCTTTTCATGGTGTCGCCTGATTGGTCCTTCAGACCTGTGTGAGGACTGATCTGCCAATTGTTATCAGTCTTGGTAAGTGCAGCTTCCTCCTCTCAACAGCTGCTGCAGTCAGTCAGCTTATTCAGCAGCACAAGTGTCTGTGTGTGCGTTGGTGTGTATTTGTGTGTGTGTGGCCACCCTGTTTTCTCCCCTCCCCTCTATTTCCTCTACTAAATACCCATCCCACCCTCTTTCCACTCCCATCCCCCTCTCTTTGCACACTTTTTCCCCCTAACCCACACTCTTTTTAACACACACTCCTGCCACATGAGGCCGGGCAGCAGCCCGCTGTGTCTGAGTCACTGCAGAAAGTTACACTGCTGTGTTTGTGTTTTGCATGCAGCAGCGTCTTTCCTCTGCAGCTCGGCGTTCCACGAACGACAGGATAAGGAAGGAAGATCTCAGTTTACTGCAGCTGAACCAGGATTTCGCTGAAGGTAAAGATGTCTTCCTCACCCCTCAGAGGTTGTGATGGTGTCTGTTAGACATTCACCATCATTCTGACAATAGCATGCCGTCTGTCTATGAGTTTTGGGCCAACTTTGAACTGTGGATTTTTTAACTGTGAGATCTCTTAAGTTTAAACATTTGTTACTGTTTTATTCTGGTGAGCTATATGCATATCTATTGAAATACTCTGTTCCACCTGCTCAGATTCCTAATATTTAAATTAGATGCATGTTTTGAAAGTGTTTTCTTTTTCTATTCTAACATGTTTTATTCTAGACTGTTTATTGTATAGAATCAACATAGACTCTGGTTGTTCAGCAGTGCATCCTCCCTCTGCCTCTATGTTGCATGTGTGGCTAAACTGAGTTTATGATGCAAAGATTGCGACTTAAATTAATCTAAAGCTACAGTGTGTCACTTTCGACGCAAGTATTAATTTAACTTGTGTTACTCTAAAGCAGTGGTCTCCAACCCTGGTCCTCAAGATCTACTGTCCTACAGATTTTAGATG